TATATGAAGTTTTCCCCATGTCAATTATACCTCATCAAACTTATTTCATATAAACAATAAAATATTATTGGTAAGAAATCTTACAAAGATAATATGTTACATGTCCAAGCACCCTAAAAATTCTACAGCATCAAGCCTAGGCCTCTGCATATGTTGGAGTAAAATCTAGGTGTGGAAAATCACACAAGTTCTCATTACAGAGTTCGTGAATCCTCACTAGGCATGTTCAGCTCTGTGCGGCAGTTGGTTCATGGATCAGGTGTGTCCAGTGCTGAGCAGCACAGGCTCAGATACCAGAACTCACTTTTAACAGACATGAGCTCCTGATCCATTACACAGGCTCTCCATGCGCTGGGGTGACTCTCACATTTGTAACATGGAAAAAACATGGACAGTCACAAAACATGATCATGTCCACATGTCAATAGAAAATATGATGATGGATGCTAAGTATTGATCACATTGCAATCTCATCAGAAGAATTTATATTGTATCAAATGTTAACCTTGTCATTATCCTCCCCCCAGACACTCACTTGTGATCTGGGCCAGCTCTGTTCTCAAGTGTCCCACACAGAGCTTGCTATATAGCAGGGGACATGCAAATAGGGCCCTCCCTCTGCTGATGAAAACCAGCCCAGCCCTCACCCTGCAGCTCTGGGAGAGGAGCCCCAGCCCCGGCATTCCCAGGTGTCCCTGTTTGGTGATCAGGACTGAACACAGAGACACCATGAGGTCTGGGCTGAGCTGGGTTTTCCTTATTGCTCTGTTACAAGGTAATTCATGGAGAACTAGGGATATTTGTTGTGTGAGTGGATGTGAGTGAGAGTAACAGGGGTGTGTGTGGCAGTTTCTAACCAGGATGTGTCTGTGTTTGCAGGTGTCCAATGCGATGTGCAGCTGCTAGAGTCTGGGGGAGGATTGGTCCAGCCTGGGGGTTCCCTGAGACTCTCCTGTGCAGCCTCTGGATTCACCTTCAGCAGCTACTACATGAGCTGGGTCCGCCAGGCTCCAGGGAAGGGGCTGGAGTGGGTCTCAACCATTAGTAATGGTGGTGGTAACACATACTACGCAGACGCCGTGAAGGGCCGATTCACCATCTCCAGAGACAATGGCAAGAGCTCGCTGTATCTGCAGATGAACAGTCTGAAAGCTGAGGACACGGCTGTGTACTACTGTGCGAGAGACACGGTGACAGGACATCAGTGTGAGCCCAGACACAAACCTCCTGTG